ATCACACTGCTATGTGTGTACCTATGCAACAATCTTGCATGTTCTTCACATGTACCCCAAAACCTAAAATGCAATTTTAAAAATGCTAACAAATGTCTGTTACTCAATAATATCTCTCTGAGCCCCACGTTTGCCTTACTTCCAATCAGCTGTTTCTTTCTCCATTTGCAATCATACCTAACTGATCTTCCTGCAGTTACCTCCCTGCAAGCTCCCACCCCACAGTATGCACCACAGCTAAAACAGAGTGATTTTTTCCAAACACTAATCTGGCCATGGTCCTACTGCTACCAATATTGTCCTAGCACTCTCAGAGTGAAGATACAAATTTTTACCAGGAACAAATATGCTGCACAGCCCTTATTGACCTCTCCAGTCTTACCTCATATCAACTTTCTCCTATTATCTCTAGTTCAACCAACCTGTCCGCCTTTCATTCCCTCTCTATTTCCTTCTATATAAGAGCCATTCTCCACCATTTTAACTTCATTAAGCCCTATCACTCTTTCGAAGCTTAATTTAGGCATCACATCGTCAGAGAAGCCTCCATTGATCTGCCCTAGCTTTACTCAAGTGATTAGGTCAAGTCCTGTGATTTGCCTTCATGCATCTGCATGCCCTATTTCTCTTTCATATCACTTAGACAAAAGGAAGAGATTTATGATCTTGTGCATCAGGAATCGGTGTTGCAAGTGAGGAAACCAAAGGAAATACGTATATTTAGTAATCAACTTCTGAAATTCAAGCCAATATTTCTAACCACACAAAAATAAACATACATAAAAACTACATATAAGGGTTCTCAAAAGAGCTAGGGAATTTCTTAATAAGCAAATATCAAATATTCTTTGGCAATAAACAACATGGTCTATCTAGACTGCTGCTGGATATGTAATTTAAGAGCTAGAAAATCTTAACAATTGTCCCAACCTCTCCTTCAAAAACACAAAGGAGAAAAGCCAAGCTCAAAAGTGAGTCTCAGAAGTCTTACAAATAGTTAATGATAGAGAATAAAGTAGAATTAATCAACACATATCTGTTGAACGCTCTTGTGTGCCTTAGTTTCCTATTTCTAGGTCCTCTTTTCATTAGTATATGCTGTTTCTACTTAAGTCATTTCCAGAAACAGAGCAGTTAAAATTTACTTTAATTTCTCAATATAAAAAACTACTTTCTTTTTAAATTTTATTTTAATTGACAGATTAAGTTATATATATTATGGGCATACACTGTAGAATGGTTAAATCAAACTAATTAACATTATCTCACATACGATTTTTTGTGGTGAGAACACTTAAAATCTACTCTCTTAGCAATTTGCAGGTATATGATATGTTGTTTTTAGCTATCATCACCGTGACATCTTATAGGTCTCCTGAACTTATTCCTCCCGTCTAACTGAAATTTTGTATCCTTTGACCAACATCTCCTTAATTCCCCTATCCCCCATTCTCTGTTAACCACCACCCTACTCTCTGTTTCTATGAGTTCAACAACAGCCTACTTTCTACCTTAAGGGAATGATACAACGCTAAGAAAACATAAGCCTTTAGACAAAAGGATGATGTACTACTAAAATTATATTAGAATGCAGTTTTATTTATTTGTGCATGAGCTCTTCCTATTTCTTTGTTATACCTCCCTTTCTAGATGAAGTTCTATAAAAGAATGCTGGGAAAGAGAGCCCCCTTCTTGCTTTAATTTTGGACATGAAGAAAAATGAGTCTCCAACTTACCTGCAGCTCACTCCAAGCCAAGTTTGTTCTTAACCTTCTAAACCACCAAACATATTTTTAAATCTCAATGCTAACCTCCCATTTTAGCCAATATCTCCCTCTCTAAAGGAATGATGGGAATGGGATATCATTGCTACATGGCCTGTTGTTCACTGCAGTCCACTAACTAGTTCTTTTATTAGATCACTGAAGTACTCAGAAGGAATGAACATACGTTGCTGTACTCTCTGCAATAGTAGTATAAGGATAAAATTCTGAGCAGCCTTTACTGCTTAGTTCTTTTCATAGGTAGGCAGGCTGATAGCCAGTTTGTGGCATAAAACACTGTGGCTTATAGACATTTGAGGCAAAAGAGACATTGGAAACCTTTTAGTCCAACACCCAATCCATGCAGAAATACTTTTTTGAGGTATCCTAAACAAAAAAGAGATTAAATTCATAGGTGTACCTCGAAGATATTGTGGATTCAGTTCCAACCGACTGCACAGAAGCAAGTAGCACAATAAAGAGAGTCACACAAAGCCAAGTGCAGTGGTGCACACCTGTAATCCCAGCTACTTGGGAGGCTGAGGCAGGAGTATCACTTGAGCCTAGAAGTATGAGACTAACTTGGACAACATAGGGACTCCCATCTGTCAAAAAAAAAAATTAAATTATAAAGGTGAGTTACATGAATGTTTTTGTTTCCCAGTGCATAATACGAATAAAAGTAATGTTTACACTATACTATAGTCTAGTAAGAGTACAATCATATTATGTCTAAAAACGTACCCACCTTAATTAAGAAATACTTTATTTCTTAAAAAAATGCTAATGATGATGTGAGCCTTCAGCAAGTCCTAATCTTTCTGCTGGTAGAGGGTCTTGCCTCAATGTTGATGGCTGTTTACTGATCAGTTGCTAAAGCCTGGAGCAGCTGTGGCAATTTCTTAAGTTAAGACAACACAGCTTCTGCACAGCAAAAGAAACAGTCATTAGAGTGAATCGGCAACCAACAGATTGGGAAAAAATTTTTGCAGTTTACCCATCTGACAAAGGGCTGATATCCAAAATTTACAAAGAACTAAAGCAGATTTACAAGAAAAAAACTAACAAGCCCATTCAAAAGTGGGCAAAGGATATGAACAGACACTTCTCAAAAGAAGACATACGTGAGGCCAACAAACATATGAAAAAATGCTCATCATCACTGGTCATCAGAGAAATGCAAATCAAAACTACATTGAGATACCATCTCACGCCAGTTAGAATGGCGATCATTAAAAAATCTGGAGACAACAGATGCTGGAGAGGATGTGGAGAAATAGGAACACTTTTGCACTGTTGGTGGGAGTGTAAATTAGTTCAACCATTGTGGAAGACAGTGTGGCGATTCCTCAAAGACCTAGAAATAGAAATTCCATTTGACCCAGCAATCCCATTACTGGGTATATATCCAAAGGATTACAAATCGTTCTACTATAAGGACACGTGTACACGAATGTTCATTGCAGCACTGTTTACAATAGCAAAGACCTGGAACCAACCCAAATGCCCTTCGACGATAGACTGGATAGGGAAAATGTGGCACATATACACCATGGAATATTATGCAGCCATCAAAAACGATGAGTTTGGGTCCTTTGTAGGGACATGGATGAACCTGGAAACCATCATTCTCAGCAAACTGACAGAAGAGCAGAAGATCAAACACCGCATGTTCTCACTCATAGGCGGGTGTTGAACAATGAGAACACATGGACACAGGGAGGGGAGCACTACACACTGGGGTCAGTTGGGGGGAAATAGGGGAGGGACGGTGGGGGATGGGAAGCTGGGGAGAGATAGCAAGGGGAGAAATGCCAGATGTAGGTGATGGGGAGGAAGACAGCGAATCACACTGCCACGTGTGTTCCTATGCAACAATTTTGCATGTTCTTCACATGTACCCCAAAACCTAAAATGCAATAAAATAAATAAATGGGGAAAAAAAAAAAAGACAACAGTGAAGTTTGCTACATGGATTGAGTCATCCTTTTCCTAAAGATTTTTCTGTAGTATGTGATGCTGCTTGAAAGCCTTCACCCACAATAGAACTTCTTTCAAAATTGCAGTCATCCTCTCAAATCCTGCTGCTGCTTTGCCAACTAAGTTTATGTAATATTCTACATACTTTGTTGCCATTTTAACAGTGTTCACAGCATCTTTACCAGGAGTAGATTTTATCTCAAGAAACCACTTTCCTTGCCCATCTATAAGAAGAACGTCCCATTCATTTAAGTTTTATCATGAGATTGCAGCAATTCAGTCACATCTTAGGCTTTGCTAATTCTAGTTCTCTTGCTATCTCCATTACATCTGCAGTTACTTCCACCACTGAAGTTTTGAACACCTCAAAGTTATCTATGAGGTTTGTACTCAGTTTCTCCTGAATTCCTGTAAATGGGGATATTTTGCCCCCCTCCCATGAATCATGAATGTTCTTAATGATATCTAGAATGGTGAATCCTTTTCAGAAGGTCCATTAGAGGAATTTGTTTTGCCCAGATCCATCAAAGAATTACTGTAAAAGATATAAGCTGTCATCACTATAAGCTATAGCCTTATGAAACGTATTTCTTGTGTGATAAGACTTAAAAGTCTAAATTACTTCTTGACCTAGGGGCTGTAGAATGAATGTTGTATTAGCAGGCATAAAAACAACATCAATCTTGTACATCTCAATCAGAGCTCTAGAGTGACCAGGTACAATGTCGATGAGCAATAATATTTTGAAGAAATCCTTTTTTCTGAGAGGTAGGTCTCAATAGGGAACTTAAAATATTCAGTAAACCATGTTGTGAACAGCTATGCTGTCATCAGGCTTAGTTATTCCATTTATAGAGCACAGGCAGAGGACATAATTCTTAAGGGTCTTAGGGTTTTCAGAACAGCAAATTAACACTGGCTTCAACGTAAAGCCATTAGCTGCATTAGTCTCTATCAAGACAGTCACCCTGTCCTTTGGAGCTTTGAAGCCAAGCATTAACTCCTCCCCTCGAGATATGAAAGTCCCAAATGGTATCTTCTTTCAGTACAAGGCTGTTTTGTCACCATTGAAAATCTGTTGTTTAGTGTAGCCACCTTCATCAATTATATATATATATATCATATTTCTTTGACAGCGTCTTGCTCTGTCACCCAGCTGGAGTGTCGTGGTGCAATCACAGCTCACTCCAGCCTCAGTCTTCTGGGCTGAAGCAATCCTCCCACCTCAACCTCCTGAGTAGCTCAGACCACAGGTGTGCACCGCCACATCCAGCTAATTTTTTATTTTTTGTAGAGACAGGGTCTCCCTATGGTGCCAGGTCAGGCATCAATGGTCTTAACTAGCTTTTCTATATACCTTGCTGCAGCATTTACATCAAGACTTGCTGCTTCATCTTGCACTTTAGTTATGGAGATGGCTTCTTTCCTTAAACCTCATGACTAACCTGTTCTAGCTTCCAACTTTTCTTCTGCAGCTTCCTCACCTCTCTCAGTCTTCATAGAATTGAAGAGAGTTGGGGCTTTCCTCTAGATTAGGGTTTGGCTTAAGGGAGTGTTGCAGCTAGTTTATTCCTCTATCCATTAAACTTTCTCCATATCAGCAATAAGGCAGTTTCACTTTCTTACCACTTGCTTGTTCTCTGGAGTAGCACTTTTCATTTTCTTCAAGAAATTTTTTTTTGCTTTCACAACTTGGCTAACTAACCTTTTGACCTATCTTGACTTTCAACATGCCTTTCTCTCTTAGGTTAACATTTCCAGCTTTTGATGTAAAGTGAGAGATGTGTGACTCTTCCTTTCACTTGAACACATAAAGGCCATGGTAGGGTTAGTAAGTGACCTAATTTTAATATTTTTATGTCTCAGGAAATAGGGAGGCCTGAGAAGAGGGAAAGAGACTGGGAAATGAGTGGTCAGTGGAGCAGTCAGAAGACATGCAACATTCATGGATTAAGTTCGCTGGCTCCGAGACAGTTTGTGGTGCCCCAAAATAATTGCAATAGTAACATCAAAGATCACTAATCACAGATCACCATAACAGATAAAATAATAATGAAAAAGTTTGAAACATTGCAAGAATTACCAAAAAATGCTGCAGAGACACCAATGGACAGACTTGCTCTTAGTGAGTAATTCCTCAGTACTCACTTAAGGGAATGCCCTTTCAAGTAACATGAATTTTGTATTTGAGCACTCTGCTTGTGTTCTTCATCAACAAATACATTAGCACTTTAAATGAAACAAGCTTGTAGTAACCCCAAGCTTTGCTTTGGCAGTTCTAGCTGTGTAATGTGTGTGTGTAATGCATGTGTGTGTTTAAACACAAAGTATATGGAGCTACGGAGTATACCTGCTAGGTTAGTATGAATAACACAGAATTTAGATTACACAGTTAGCTCAGCTTTCATTTTCTGCTCCTGTTAAGTCGCAGAATAGAAATTGAGAGAGAGAGAGAAAAAGACTTTCTTGCTATATCAAATTCAGAACCAACTTCTTAAAGTTAGTTAAGAAACCCTTGGGTAGTAGAGCACATTTAATCCCAACACCAACACAATCATTCACTGCTTTAATATTTTCAACAGTTACCTCATTGCATGCATAAGCTCAGGGAGAATAACAGGAGCCATCCATATGTTTGCCACTTTCTTCCCTTTCAGACTCTCTCACTTTGGTAATAAAATTCTGCATACCCTCCAGGTGTATCTAAACCTGACAGCGGCTCTGCTATCTATTCTGGCAATGTCTAAAAGAGAATAACTTCCTGTCTTTTGTTTACAATGTAATGCTTTAACAAAAGAAAGATAGACAAAAAGATGTGTTAATCAAATAATGTTTTTCTATTTATTTTTCAAGCATGTTTTGTGCTGTTGGTAAGTTATTTCTTTCTTGAAATAACCTTGACGGCAATAGCTCATTGATCACCCTAATACTTACATAAGCAATCTCTAAACTGCATATATGTTAAATGACAATATAAGTAGATCCATATGACAAATCCATCCATATGATAGATTTAGGACATTGGGTTTTCTGGGATATCAGTACTCTATTTTACTTGGTAATGTGCCTGGCAGTGAAGAGCTTTAAATTTGGTATCTGTCATTGCCTATCTTGGTCTAAATTATATCATGCTAAATATTATGACAAATACTGCACAGGGGAAATCAGCAGTGGGTTATGAGAGTGGTCAACTTCATATTACAGTGTACTAGTGTCTGATATTAGAACTGTTCGCCAGATGCTTCCTGTGGACTTCCAGAAAGCAGAGTGTGGTGCCACTGAGCTCCAGAGGCACTGATGTGAAGTATGCAGAAGATAAATAAATCATGTAGTACATTCATTTCACTTGGCTCCTGTGATTCCACTGACGTCACTGTGGATAACCAGGGTCTGTATGAGGCCCCTCTCGCTTCTGCGCTCTGAAGCCTTCGAGGTGCTGCCCATCTAGCCAGGCCCTGCAGTAATTTCACACATTCCTCTAATAAAGTCCTCGGGGGCTGTCATGTATTTTCCTGCACTTGCCCTATTATCCCTCCCTGCTTGAGTCTTACAGATAATTGATGATGCTTCAGTTAATCATCTTTCTCTCTCTTTTGTTCACCAGGTACTTCAGCCTTCAAGGGGCTCTTTTATTGAGAATCAATGTCTTCTCCTAGGTAATTGATCACCCTAGACCCAGGGACTCCCAATTCATCGTAATCATCATGAATACTCAAAAAGCTGTAGCCGCGATACTGGAAGAGTGCAAGCAAGTGCTGGACCAGCTCTTGTTGGAAGCACCAGATGTGTCAGAAGAGGACAAGAGTGAGGACCAGCGCTGCAGAGGTGAGGTTCTGATGGGAGGCACCAGGGGTGAGCCAGCAGGTTCACTCTCCTCTCCCTTGCCTGAACGACACGTTCTCATCTCTGCCCTATTTTTCTTCTCTTGGCAGATGACCACCGAGAGATGAGTGGATTTCTAGGGCATGAATGGGACATGTGCTGCAGGCGGAGGGGCAGGGGAGGAAGCCCACTTTGTTGCAGTGAATTGCTGTCAGTTCTAATTTTAGGCTTCAGTAAACATGAGGCAACAAGAAACAGTTTAGTTCAAGAAGAACAAAGGGTCCAAGTTGGCTGGTGCACGTAAATTTCAATTATTAAAAAATTGAAGCAATTTCTGAATGGTGGCACATACTTTTTTTCAAACTAGGATTTTGTGCCTCATCAGTTTCCATAGACTTCTAGGGTTTCCACAAATATGTCATCTCACCAGTCCAATCTCGGTTTTTCAGTCACCAATACATTCCTCATACTATATTCTCACGCCATTTGTAAAATAAATTCTCTCTTCTCGGTAAATACCGATTGCATCATTATCAGAGTTTAAGAATTTGGCTTTTTGCTCGTTTCATTGATTGTGTCATTCAGAGTTTTAGATAAGTCATTGTTTGGGAATTTTCCATCACAAAGTGTAGAAAGTTCAGGCAATTCTTATTTCTTCTTTAAACGGTTTTTGAGCAACCCTTTTTTTTAGATTCATTTTTAGCATTTGAATACATTTTCCTCCACTTCCATAAGTATTGTCCTTTCTACATGCTTTTAATATTTCTCTCAGTATTTTTAGCACTTTGCTATTCCTCACAGAAATAAGATTCCCAAAGAAAATGCACACGCCTTGTTTTTTGCTGTGGTTGTTCATTATGTAATGGGAAAAGGTTCTGGGAAAGTCTTTTCTCCTGAGTTCTTGTACACAGGCACATACAGTTTTACAAGGGCACTATGGAAGTCTTAATTATTTGTAACCTGTCATTTGTCCTCCTTTCGAGACAAAATAGCCTACGTCCAGTCATTTCACAGCCTCGGTTTCTATAATACACCAATGTGTGACTTTGCTTCCTGGCTCCATGCGCCTGTCAGCCTGAGATCACTCTCACAGATGTCAGCCTTTGTCAGGGAATGGCAGGTACTTGGCACCTATAGAATATGCTCTATGGCTGGCCCTCGTTCTCCCCAGGGGCGGTGTGTTGTGTTCTGTTGTTTCCACTGAAGTTTTTCTCGCCCTTTTACTACACCACACCCTTTGTCTTCCTCAGCCCAAATTCCTTTAAGCTTTGTGGTCGCCCTAGTGAAGACTCTGAGCTCCCAATTGAGTAGCATTTTCTTTTTCTTTTTCTTCCCCAGTGCCACAGAATAGGAGAAGTAATCAGTTTAGTTCCAGATAAGGCAAATCGCGGCTGTAAAATCACTAAATTAGACACGGCCCTTCAGGTAAGCTGCTTGGGGAAGTAAGTGATCAGAGAGGCAGAGGAGGCTACTGCTGGGTCTGGGGCTGACTGCCCGGAGTTGGCTGAATGCAATAAACGGACAGGGAAGAACGCCTCCCGTGCGGAGCCATTGGCAGCCACAGCATCAGCCCAGCCGAAGGGCGGCGCTGCGCGTCCCACGCGAGCCCACCGCGCGGATGGGGTGCAGCCTGCACCGGAGCCCTTCCCTCGGCAGGTGGCTGCGGAACGGCTCGAGCAGGAGGGTCGTGCCGCCACCGATGTCGTCACCGCATGTGCTCCCAGAGAAAGGCATTAGTACAGGGTCACTTATGGCAGCGGGGCGAGCCAGCAGACTGCAACACAAACACTGAAGTTTTTATTCTTCTCCCTCCTCCCGTCGACCCCCTCCTTTTCCCTCAGAAATTGTCCTTGTCAGCGTGGGTGACTACCCCAGCAACTTCCCCAGAGATGGAGAAGGAACTGAAATCCAGAGATACACTTTAAAAACATCGCTTAGAGGCATATTTTGTTTCAGGGTACCCCGCAGGACATTCTGACTGAGGTGTGGGGAAAGGGTGCAAAACCAAAAGGGAGGCAAAAACAAGTTAGTTGCAAAGAACAGACTTATCCATTACCGTGAGGAAATCTGAAAACATTAAAACTATTCAGTCCAAAGTATGATAAATTTCTATGAACCCAGAAATCACATTTCCTTTGTCATGTGACTGCTCATTTTGACTCAGTGTTCAAATAATTTAAATAATTTATTAGCCAAAGTGGGGCACTTCTGAGGATGAAAAGGAGCACCATTAATAAGGACCACACAGGACTGTCCTAAGCAAACAGGACTAAATTGGCATCCCATCCATAACTGTTTAGAAACGCTCTTGAAGAAATGTTCTCTACAACTATGTTGAAAACAAGTTTAGAAGTTGAAATTATGTCAGTGACTGTAAGAGGGCCAGGCTTTCCAGTAGAATGCGGCCACACGGGTCCCTAATCCTGTGGGTCAGCTTTCAAGGGGGAATGCCATCAGTCACACAGTAGATGCTCAGTGAGGATAAGGGGTGGTAATTTCAGTGTAATACCTGCGAGCCATCCTTGGTAATCAAGGTAAATCATTCACTGGTATGGCCCATGTGATATCCCCTCAATGCCAGTCAGTCCTTCCCCACTAGAAAACTTCCTTACATTGGCCCAATTGGTGGCTAAATCGTTCGTAAAAAGGAATCACAGATCAAGTTAGGTTTTCCCTCTCCTTTTTTCTTTCGTTCTTCCAGTCATTCATATCTTTTTTGCTGTATTTAGTATGTTTCACATAGATATTAGATGAACCATGTTTTTTTATAGATGATATAAAAATATTTTTAAAGGGCCAGCTAGAAGATGAACCTTGTCTTTAATCATACTGGTCTTTCACCCGTCATGATGTGACTTATACAAATGTTGAGACATGATGTTTATCTTCAGGGACCTAACAGTCCAGTGAGAGACAGAGGTTGTTACAGAGCAGTGGGATGAAGGCTGAAAAGAGCCTGCTCCCTTGGGTTTGGAAGTGCTCAGAGCGGGCACTCAATTCCACGGCGAGCTCACAGCAGACTGGCAAGAAGTGGCAATGTTTGCTTTCAGTGCCTAAGTCGGTGGGCCGGAATTTGGTCACAAGGCACTGGGAGAAGGCGATCCAAACAGCCAGAACAGGATTTGCAGAACCTTTGATGATTTTTATGCAGGGCAATTGCCTGTTCCATCTTGTTTTTAGAAAAATGAGGATAAACAATGTGCAAGATGAAGTGTGTAGAGCAAGATGCAGGTAACAATTCAGGCAAGAATTACTGCCTAGGAAGAGGAGGAAATGGATTTTAAGAGGCACAGGATTTGACAACCAATTAGGTTTGGGGAAGAAAAGAGAACACAAACTCTAGACTGACTCCTGGGTTTGAGATTTGGAGAACTTAGTAAATGGTGGTGCCAGTTATCACAATAGAGATTTAGAAGGGAAAATAGATTTAGAAAAAGGTGATGAGTTCATTTTTGGATATTGAGTATGAGAGGGCTGTGAGACAAGTACCTAGAGATTTATAGCCAGCAATCATGTATGCAGGTCCATAATCCTTTATTCATAAATCTGGCATCACATGTGTACTTCAGAATTCAGAATTTTCCTAGTGTTAGGAGAGAGTCTTATGGTGCATGTACCATATATTAACATTCATACGCAGTAGAAGGTGGAGTGTAGTCAAACACAGAAAGTTTTGCAGCAAAACTTTTGAGCAAACTCACTGAGTGCTCAAGCAGGACTATAAATACCCACTAGTCAATTCAAGTCTGTTTTGGGTGCCAAACTTAAGAAGCATTTTCCAGTTGCCAAGCCGTTTGGGTTTCCAAAGTTTGTATGGGAGATTATGAACCACTCTAAGTAGATTTGGTGCCCATTAAGAGATTTAATGTATCTACTAATGTGAAGCAGGGCCATTTCACAATTAATTTACACCATTTCAAATCTCATTTGTGTTTTTCGTAGTTATTGTCTGTATTCAAATGTAGCCCATATCGAAGGGGTGAGAAAGTGAAGTCTTAGAGAAGCAAAAAGAGGTTATACAAATTAACACTGCATCACCCACCCGCCGTAAGCCCAAAATGCCATTCCATTCCAGTCCCTTTCTCATTTTACAGGGAAAATAATATTTCCTTCATTCCTTTCTCTGATTCTTCATGCAGAGATAGTCACTAAAGTGCTTCACTTCCTGCTAAAAACCTTTCTTAATGCCTGACTACCCCAATTTACCTGTAGGGCAAAGTAGTCCAGGGCCACCCCTGACAGATAGCTCCTCACTGTTATTCTTTGAGTCAGAACCAACAGCTTAGGCCAGCCAACAAGAGGCAGGGAAAAGGTTTTTCTTTTTCTTTTCTTTTTTTTTTTTTTTTTTTTTTTGCCACTGAAGTGCTTCATCATAACATTGGTAGCTCAACAGCCTTTTCTTTGACTGCAATTTCCTTACCTGAACTCTGACCTTTTCAGCTTCACTCCCCGGCGAGTTAAGGACCCTGATCCAGGAGGTAAAGGAAATGAAGTGGCCCTTCGTGCCTGAAAAGTGGCAGTACAAACAAGCCGTGGGCCCAGAGGACAAAACAAACCTGAAGGATGTGATTGGCGCCGGGTTGCAGCAGTTACTGGTAGGAAGAGCTACACCACCTGTTCCTCTGACATCCCTAAGTGAGGCATTTAGACTTTAAGTGGTCTAATAGATTAAATTTCTTTGAAGCACAAGACAGCCCCCTACCCTTATGGTCAAGTCTGCCAGATTGACTAATGTGGGGGAAAGAGCTGTTTGAAAAGCATTGCCAGCCCGTAAGATCTTGTGTTGGTTGTAAAGCCAAATCCAGTAAAAGTGAAGAGTGGTCAGAGGGCCTAACATGAACCCTGTCATCTTGAAATATCCATGGTGGGCCAGAGAAGCAGGTTTGATTTCACCATTCCTCAAAGCATTTTAATCTTGATATGCTAGTTTCTGAAAGTTGGGTAGCTTAAAAAAATAAATGCACCATTGTTTCATCAGCGTGACTTGCTGTCTAAGCTATTGAAGTCTGGCATATTCCTTCCCTGAGCCCTACCTAGGGTCCTGTTCACTTTCTTGTATCCTCAAGATTAAGGCTGTTCAGGAAGCATCAAGTCAAAGTCATTGACATGCTTATTTCTCAACTCATTTACTGGAAATTAATTGAACTGGTACCTCTATGCCAGATAGTAGAGAGCCTGAGGAGTAGCACAGGAACTCAGGCTGCAGCTCAGGATTCAGGCTCTGGTTCTGGGGATGTTATAGGGAGTACCATTTTCCTTCTTAATAGCGTTGTTTTTCACCCACATTCTCTCAAATGATTGTCAAGGAAGAAAGATTGCTAGTTTATATGTATCTTTTCTCAAATAAAAAAATACATTCGTCTGGAGATCAGGCATGATCTCAAGCATGACAATATCCTAAAATTTTTACTTTATTGGTTTATGTAAGATTGTATTTTATGGTTCATCCTAAAATAAATATATAGGCATTGTCTTTGCCCATTCAAGCAAAAATCTAGGAAAGACCCCCTGATCTATAGAAACACAAAAGCATCTTTAGAGACTTAATAAAAACAGTAAAACCCCACCTCTCTCATCCTCTTAAAAAACAAACAAAACAGGTTAAGCAGACGGGATTGCAAGCAAAGGAAAGTGAATACTTAAAAAGAACACAACGGTGAGCCAGGGGTTTTAAATAAATGTGGTCAGTGTTAGCGTAAAAGTAGAATAAAATAATAGCTATAATTTATATGTCACTATAGAGTTTACAAAGTGCTTGCACATGCATCATTTCATTTAATTCTAAATGCCTTAGAGTGATTCAGATGCTCTTTGACTTATAATGCTGTTGCCCCCAATAAATTCATCATAAGTTGGCAATACAATAAGTCAAAATATTACACATTAAAATGCATTTAATACCTAACCTACTAAACATCATCGCTTAGCTTAGCCTACCTTAAGCAAGCTCAGAACACTTACCGTGCTGAAAGTGAAAAACAGAATGGTTGTATTCTACTAAATGTGTATTGCTTTCACACCATTTTAAAATTAAAAAATCATAAGTTGAACCATTGTTAAGTTGGGGATCTCCTGTATTACCATTATCATCCCTCTTTTATGAACAAGGAAATTAAGGTGCAGAGAGGTTAATTTGCCTAGGGAAGCAGGCCAGTAAGTGGTGAAATTGTGACTTACAGCCTTCTCCTTCATCCAACTCCAATTCTCCATCAAGAAGCACCAGGTGAAGAGCTTGAAAGCACAGGTAGAAGCCATGAGACTTGCTTATTGTATCTAAAGCAAGCTGTAGGCCATCCAGTAAAACGTTTTGCATTGATGATGGAAATGTTCTACAGCTGTGCTGTTCAATATGGTAGCCACTAGCCACAGATGGCTCTCGAGCACTTGAAATATGGTGAATGGGACCAAAGAGCTGAATTTTTAATTTTATCTATTTTTTATTCATTTCTATGTAAATAGTCACATGTGGCCAGGGCTGCCATTTTATTGGACAGGGCAGCTCTAAAGCAGTGGCTATGAATGTGAGACCTCCAGACAACACATTACCATCACCTGAAAACAGGCCAGAAATTCAAATTCTTAGGCCTAAATCGAAAACTCTTACTGAATCAAACACCCTAAGGATGGCAGTCCAGCAGTCAGCATTAGACAAGCCCTCCAGATGATTCTGATCTGTGCTAAAGTTTGAGAACCACTGCTCTGCAGGAAAGAGTAGACTGACGAGCATGGGGGAAAGGCAGAGAGACTGAATGGGGATAGAGTGGAGACGGGTAAGGTAAGAAGTAGGGAGAATCCAGTGAGAAGACTGTAGGAGACCAACCCGAGAAAAAAAAAAAAAACTCCTTTCCATCAATTCTGGGAACGGTTGCTTAGACTGGAGCCCTCCTGCAAGAGCTGATGGCTGCTTTACTTGCTTCGAGATCCGTTGTGTAATTAGCCTAGTGGCACATGAGGACTTTACAAACCTTTCAAGGAAGGCGAGAGCAAATCAGCCTCGCAGAGGGAGCGACTCCTACTTTGACGTTTGGGTTTAGCAGGTTTCTCTGACTTTTGAACACAGGCTCAGTGCCGGAGAGGTGGCACATCACTATAACTGGGGTTTTACTCCCCTCGCTCCATCCTGCAATCACCAGACCCCTCCACCCCTGCATTTAAAGCTGGTGGTGACGTTAGCTTAAAAACGGAAAATGATGTTTTTAAACATTTAAGTCTTGCTGTATTGGGGGTTTAATGTGAGTTGGGAAACAAGCTGCTCATAGTTGGTAGACTGTTTTAAGAGCCCACTTACAATACCTCCTGCTATGCCTCTCTATACCACACAAATTTCACAACTGGAGAAATAGAGGCATAAGGAATTTAAGAAATTCGAGCCCAACTCACAAGGTTACTCAGTAGCAGCTCTAAGGGGCTATCTATTAGGCCTTCTTTAGTCTCTAATATATTTAATCTGGTAGCTTTTTGAACTCTGAGCATCATTTTCTTTAGCTTGCCCAGCAAGCTATAAATTAAGCAACCACACCTCCTAATGACTTTTAGGATGTTCTCCTATTGTGCCAAACCCCGAGTGCACAATTGCTGAACCACTGTTTTGTAAATATGGGGAACCATAGCACCCTGTGGGTCAGGCTCTCCTAAAGTCTATTTTTAATATCTTAGATTATTAAAAATAGTTTGAATAAATTCCATCATTTGTTTTTGTTTCATTGTATCTCATTCTGGTCAATTTCCATATTAGCGTTTATCAGAGCTGGATGGTCATATTTTAATAACTGACTGATTGTGAAATTCCACTCTCGCTTAAAAAAGATTACCGAGTTTGTCTTTTCATGTTTTCTCTCTTCTTAGAGTTTATTCATAAATATAAACTTTCTGTGATTTTTTTTACCTGGAAATGAATCCTTCCCATACAATGTTTCCCTTCTGTTTTTAAAATTAGCATTGTACTTAGAGCATAAACACTGTGTTTTTAATTCCACAAAGAGCAGATCGAAGTTGAGCACAGAATGCTTAAGTAAAAGGCAAGTCAGAAACAACTGCTTTCCACAGCTCACCAGTTGGTAAAATTAAGAGTCATTTATAATGTTATTCTCTTGGGCTAAACTCAACCAAGAAAAATGATACATGTTTTGTGTTTTGCTTTCTGGTCTCCACTGTGTTTCCATTTCCGCCCTCCCCAGTGCTCTCCTCCCCTCCTCCCCGGCTCTCCAATCCCTTTTCCTTTGGTGTGTGGCCACAGACAGAAATTTATGGCAGGGGCCAACCTCCTTTACACTCCACACAAAGCTTGCTGACTTGAGAGAGTTTGTCCGCGCTCTCCCAGAAGAAACACCTGCAGTACGCTCCCTGAGAAACCTGAAGAGATGTGAGATGAATGTGGCTGTAAGAGCTGGGCAGTGTTTTGGGTATTATGCCCTCTCCCCAGGTAGATGGGTCTTTTCCGAGATGATACCAATTATTTATTGCTGAAACATCTGTTGATAACTGCAGCTGCCCTTGTAAAACAAAGCATATCACGGGGTCACAGGCTACGGGGACCTAAAATCCTACCTCATGCTAGTTTCGGTCTATTCAGCAACACCCTCAAGTCCATAGGTTACCATCATCTTTAATGTCTCATCGTGCCGTAGAAAATACTTTGTAAACACCGAGCTGCCCTGCCCTAGAGGCTTTGAAGTATTATTTCGTCTTCATCGGTAATTTATATTCCAGTGCCATTGTACTGTGGGAAAGAGAGGGGGAACCTTTTTTGTTTTCCATTTAATTGTATATCGCCTGACACTTTGACCTGTATTATTAGTATTAGTCAGAAAAAGGATTTTCTCCCTCTCTTATTTAAAAATAAAATTTCAAGGGAAAGTAAGCGCTCCTTCAGCTCTTTTCACTCAAAACAATGTTTACACTCTGAGAGGCAAAGATGAAAAGCATGAGCAACTTTTTTCAAGTGTCGGAGAAGGGCATTGCAGCCTGTGAAAGAGAACAGTAAGGCCCTTATAAATATCATTCAGCAGAACCTTTGATGGATTTTTCAAAAAGTATTGAAGGCATTTAGTGTTAGCGTCTGTTTAGCTCAGCTTTGGGCCATGGTAGTGGCGTGCTAGCTAGGAAAACCCGTAGAATGCTAACTTGCTGCTGAGATACCAGGGAAGGGCTCAGTGTGGATGCCGCCTTGGGAGATTTTTTTTTTTTCTGTAGTTTTTACTCTTCTAAACAACAATAAAAAAATGGCTAATGAATTAAAAGAAAATCTGAAAGTAAAGCTTTCAAAAGGTAGAGTAAAGGCTGTGTTTGGATTTGCAGGTGGGAATAGATTGGGCTGCAAGGCCAAGAGCTGTGTGGTGGCCCTTGAGTTTGAACATCCCCTGCACAGGTTTGGGGGTCCTGATGCTGAAGGGACCTATTTTTGTGGAGGGAGGGACCTGCTCTCAGTCAGCCCTGGATTTACTGTGGTGCTCACTTGCAGAGATCCGAGATAATTTTGTAGGTCGGCACTAAAAGCACAGTCCGAAGACATGAAGCAGGCTCAGAAGGAGGATATTTATTTTTCCATGTCCTTTTCAACTCTACAACCATGAAAAATGGGTAATATGATAGCCCT